AGCCGTCATCATCTACTTTATTTTAATATTAAAAATTATTTATGCTCTTTCAAAAAGTTCTGCAGCACACAATTTTTTCTCGCCGGACTTTTGAGACACCCTGTAATTTCCAACAATGTAGAAAATCAACATCGATTTTCTATATTGTTGGAAATTCGATTTTCTATAATCTGGAAAATCCGTGAGGATTTCATATATGGACTTTTTGAAAATCGCCGAGCATTTTCTATAAATAATTGCTGACTTTACAGTGTAGTAGAAAATCAAGAGATCAAAAATTTGTGAGCAGTTAATAAATGATAGAACTAATTAAATATATGTCAATCGTAAAACTGTATTAGCTGAAGTAAAAGATCGTTCATCTGTGACTCCAAATTTTTTATGGATGCCGAGTTCACTATTGTTGACATGCTCAATTGAATAGATTTTCTAGTTAATAACAATTCGTTTTCAAATTCGTGTCTTTTTTACTTATCTGTGCTGAATAATGTCGAGTTAAACGTGAAAAACGATAGTTCAGTTGCTTGTTACTTAATTCGATTTTTTGTATTTGTTGACAGGACTGATAATTCAGTCGAATTGAATTGAAACTGAATGACATTTTTCTGTTCGTTTCGATCTCTGGTGATGATGGTTTTTTTGTTCGATTTCGTGTCCAAGAGTGTCAGTGATGATTAACAACAATCAAAAGAATAATACGAATTATGATTATCTCAAACAGAATTGTTAATGATTCTATTTTCTAATCGCAGTAAAAACAAAAAGAAATGGATGTTTTTCAGATCATCAAAAGACTGAATTGACAAGGGATTAAAAATGTCTTTTTGACACTATACCCATCATTCGATACAGGTTTGTGAACTCTATTTCGCATACAAAAAGACTTTTGGGGAAAAGAAGCCTGCGGTCTACAGAGGCAAAACAGGTGAAAAAATCATCTATACATGATTAGTCACTTTTCAGGTATATGAGCCATAACTCTGCCATTTTAACTCCAAATGACTTCTTACTCACAGATTTTGTAATTGAGTATCAGCTCTATCACGCGATATGTGAACGAGCTTCGGAGGCGTCGAAACAAAACAATTATAGATCTCGGAAATTTTTTTGTAAAAAAGTACCAAATTTTGGGAGAAGTAAACTTTGACATTTCTATTTTTTCTAGTGTCCTCCTCGTTACCCGAGTTATTGTGGGATTTTCGTCGCAGTTTAGCGCTCTTTCAAACCAGCTGAGCGACACGAAATTATTTTTGACCTCCGGCTTCGATTTTTTTTCTGTGGGATAATTCTCTCCTCCTAATTTTATTAAAATAAAAAATCTACGTCTTGACTTCTTAGAGTTCGAAACGTCAAGAAGTAAAATTTTAATTTTAATAAAGTTAGGAAGAGAGAATTATTCCACAAAAAATGTCATTAACCTTCCTCACAAGAATTGACTCCGGCTTCGATAGTAAATATTTTGATGAACCCTCTCTTAAAAAGGTAATTTTGTCTGGAGTACTGATGAAATCTCTTCCCTAATTATAAAATAGAAAAGAAATAGCCAGTGCATCTGGTAACAGTATAGGAAAGAAATCTAAAAAATAGTTGTTTGCCTTGTCATTGAATCAATGTTGGCGACAGTAGAGAACGGAGGAAAATGAAAAACAAAAATATTCTCATCTTTACTTTTATTACGGTGCTTCAGGCTCTTCTTCATACTGCACATACATAATTACAAAAAAAGAGAAGAGCTAAACACACAGCGTGTTCTAAAGCAATCTGTCAGTCAGGAGGACAGGTAACGTGCAGAGGTGATCGTTCAGCAGATAGAAAGATAGGTGCATTATTTAATACGTATGAGCAGACGACTAGCCTCTCCAAGAGAAGAAACGTTACGAAACCACGTACTCTGTGAGATATTATCGAGTGCATTCATACTTTACACTGTACAGGTAGTATTTATAACAGACACTAATAACAAGCAGTAACATAAAATTAAAAAAATGCAATCCACACACTGGTAAACAAAGTACACAGGAATATCAACACAAAATGGATATTCAACTTAAATATTTCATTCTTCTCATTTCACTTGTGTGTCTCGTGTGTGGAGATAGTGAAACAGCCGTAACTCTAGTACAAATACCAACTTGGGTAATTAATAATGCATATTTACGTACTGACTGTCATCCAGACGCAAGTATATAATTGAGAAGGGAACGAAACTCAGAGATTACAACTCTTTTTCTATTTTTGACGCTTAGATTCCAACCAAACTGCATGTGAAGCACGTGGTTGTATCTGGGATTCCAGCGTTGCAAATTCCACATCCGGCATTGTTACCTGTTACGTACCGAAATCAAAAGGTGGTTACCATTTCTACAATCAAACTTCACTTGCAAACAGTATGGACATGTCATACACACTCAATCGTCTGTCCACAGGTCCCATCACAAGTAAAAATGGAAAGAATACAGATGCTACCAGTGATGAATTTTCATTATTCAACAATGATATAGAGCAGCTGAATGTTTTGTTAACAGTGAGTGGTACAAACATGGTAAGAATGACAATAACAGGTAAAAAACTGAGTTCCTATAAATGTGATGTCACACGTGATAATATTCAATTTTTTTCTTTTACTTGAGATGCTAACACGGACAATCAACGTTATGAAGTACCTGTTCCAATAACATGGAGTGCCACAACTAGCCAGTCACAACAGCAGAATCTTCGTTTTGAACTAACCCAAACTCAGTACAATCAAACTGGTTTACGTGTGAGACGACAGACGGGCAGTAAGAGCTCTGACAATGATCCAATTTTATTTGATACAACTTATTTTGCCGAAGGACTTATCTACGATAATCAGTTTCTACAGATAATTACAACATTTCCATCGAACAATGTTTACGGTGAGTGGAAAATACGGCTACTTAACCTGCTCATCTACTCCTTCTTTTCAGGCTTTGGTGAGAATACGCACCCATCATTTCGACACAATTTGACCGATGGTATTCGTTACGGGATTTTTGCACGTGATCAACTACCACTGGTGAGTTAAAATGTCTACCCGCTCACACTACCAACAGGAGGAAAAAGAAATTTTTTCTGTTTTAAAGGGTCAGAATGAAAATCTCTATGGTACACATCCGTTTTACATGTGTATTGAAAACGATGGTAATGCCTTCGGTGTTTTGATATTCAACTCAAATGCCCAAGATTACGAATTTTCACAGTTCAATGCTACGAAAGCTCTACTAACCTACCGTACAATTGGTGGTATCCTGGATCTCTTCTTTTTTGCTGGACCAACGCCGGAAGAAGTAATACAGCAGTATCAAATGGTTATCGGGCAACCTTACATGCCACCGTATTGGGGTTTGGGATTTCAGGTTAGTTGCCATTTTCTCTCTGTGTAAGCTAGAAAGATTTACTTTCTTGTGTCATTACAGCTCTGTCGTTTCGGTTATAATTCCTTAACTAATATGATGGCTGCATGGAATCGTACAATTTCAAATGGGATTCCGCTGGATGTGCAGTGGGGCGATATCGATACCTTTGACAATCAAAGAGATTTCACGTACGATCCAGTGAATTATGCCGGCTTGCCCCAGTTTATTGATCATTTGCACGATATCGGAATGAAATTCGTTACGATCTTAGATCCAGCTATAGATTCACAACATCCGAACTACAGTGCTTTCGTACTTGGAGAACAACATAATATCTGGATTAAATGGCCGGTAAATGAAAATCTGCAATTTAATGAAACTGGAAACCAGAATATGTTAGGAAATGTGTGGCCGCCAGGTAAGTTCAGTCTTACACGACAAGACAAAAAATAGCTCGAAGAAACTTTGTTTGTTTTGGTGTTTGTTATTTTCAGGTAAAGTTGTATTTCCTGACTTCTTCTACCCTCCTACGAAATCATGGTGGTTGAACCAGATTGTAACATGGCACAATACACTAAATTTCGATGCAATTTGGATCGATATGGTGGGTCATTTTTCACTTTTTGCTCACTTCCTTCGCTTCTTCTGACATTGTATTTGCAGAATGAACCATCAAACTTCGACACAAACCTGATTCAGCAGTGGAACTTACACTGCCCAACTGATGAACAGTGGGATGTACCACCCTACCACCCGTAAGTTCGAATGTTTACAAAAAACCCGTGAAATATTAAAGCTTTGCGTTTCTCTTTGCTTCAAAGTGCGATCTGGGGTTCTGTGATGTCAGACAAAACCATCTGTATGCTAGCACTGCAAACAGACGGTAACACAACGTATCGTCACTACGATATCCACAATCTCTTTGGTTGGTCGCAAACTGTAGCTACACTGCTGGCGGCTCGAGCTTTGTCTCTAGGACGACGTTCATTCGTCGTAAGTCGTTCAACGTTTCCATCCTCCGGCGTGTACGCAGGTCACTGGACCGGTGATAACTCAGCTCTGTGGCCGTTCGTCAAGTACAATATTATCGGCTTGTTGGAATTCAACTTATTTGGAATACCCTACATTGGTGCTGATATCTGCGGTTTCAATTTAAATACGACGGAGGAGTTGTGTCAACGATGGATGCAGTTAGGTACGTCGTAGCAATTTGCTTCTTTTGAGTTGATTTTAAACTTATTCTCTCCTTTTTCTTCGTCAAGGTGCATTCAATCCGTTCTTTCGTAACCACAATTCCAATGGACTGATTGATCAAGATCCCGGTGTCTTCTCACCTTCAGTCGTCGCTAGTAATCGTAAAGCTGTAATCTTACGTTACACGTTGATCCCGTATCTGTACACTTTGTTCTACAACGTCCATGTCAACGGTGGCACAGTCGTTCGTTCAATGGCACATGAGTATTCTCAGGATTCAAACTGTTGGGGTTTAGATGAACAATTTCTTTGGGGTTCATCTCTGCTGATTGCACCGGTGATCTATGAAAATCAAACTATGAAGAATTTGTATTTACCACCGTCACCAGTACGATGGTACGATTACTATACGGGACAGGAACAGACAAAGCTGGGAAATATTACGGTAGACGCACCGCTGGATTATATACCGCTGTTTGTCAAGTAAGTTAGCCGTAGATAGAGTGAGCACTATCAAAATAGAATAATGTTAGCTTCAGTGGGTTTTTGTTATCTGCATAAGTATTGCAAATAAAAGTGGAAATTCTAGTTTTTCAGATGACATCTTTCACTGAGCCAGTCATTATCAAATCCAAGAACTCGATTTCTAATCAGTTTTTTACACTCTATTCGGCATCAACTAAGCTAACTTATCTCTTTATTTCCTTTCTTCAGAGGTGGCTCAATAATTCCAACACAACAGTATGCTCTGAACACAAATCTCTCGCGTCAGAATCCAGTGTCGTTGCTCATAGCATTAGACCAGAATCAAACAGCTAGCGGAAGTCTATTCTGGGATGACGGCGACTCAGTTGATACTTATGTAAATCAAAATTACAACTTGTTTCAGTTCAGTTATACGAGTAACAGCACAATTACAATCACAGCAGTAGCCTATTACTACCAAACACCATTAGTACTGGGTCAAATCCAAGTCTATGGTTTAGCTGCACAGCCCACACAGGTTATGCTGATGGAGAGTAATTCAACTGCGATAAATATGATGTGGAATGCAACTTCAAATGTACTACAGATCAGTGACATAGCTTTAAGTATAACTGCAACAACACGCACACTGATGGTTTCCTATGACAACATTACTACCATCACAGGTACTATGACTACAACAACGACGACTCAAGCATCATCAGCCGTAGGTACAGCCAAAAAAACAATCTTAACGTTTGTTTATTCATTACGTAAGCAATAGAGAGGCTGGATAGAGCTCCTCGAGTGATAACGTGCTCAGCTAAGTAGAACATCCAAAAAATATGTGAATAATGACTTACTTGTTGGACTTTTATTTATCCTCTTCTTGTTCTCTGCAGTTTTTTATTAGTTTTCAGTTTTCTACTAACAACGAGCTTACTTTATGGTCGTCTATTTATTCTATGTTTTTTTGGCTTGTTCTAGCTGTACATAAAATGTAAAGAATTTTCGAAGCTTTGTAAACATTATGAGAGAGGTTGAAAAATCGACTTTTTTTGCACCAGACGGATCGAGCCGAAGTTTTGAGAAAGGAATAGTGACTATTACTTATACATTGTCCGAAAGTTTCATCTTTACACATGTAATGGTTTCAAAGATAATTACTTTTATAGTTGGCGATAAGTGAGTAGCGGTTATTCTCCCTAGGTCGCAGGAAATGAGACATAAATGAGGCATGTATGGCTCATTTATGATATGAAGTGAAAATGATCATATTATAATCCTAAAATGATTTAAATATGAGCTTAGAATGATATTATATTTGAGTCATTTTAAGACCATTTCATAAAATGAGATAAAAATGATGTATATATGATATAATTTGTAAAAATGGTCTAAATATGATCCTAGTATGATCATCGAAAAATGATCTATTTATGTATCATTTTTATATCATATCTCTAGGATCATAGATGTGACATTTATGTGTCATTTTTTAACTTCTAATCTAAAATCATCATTTTCTTACAATTATAGTTGTCACATTTTATGATCATAATTAGATCATATCATTTATGTGTATTAGATTAGTCATTTATGGGACATTATGACACACGAAAGTAGCACTTTTTATGGAATTATGCGCATTTATCTTCTACAACTTTCCACAAACACTGTACAGAATTGAGCCTAGAGACTAAAAGATAGTAAAGTTAATTTCTGATATTTTTTACTCCGACCTCGACCCCCGAAAACCCTTTCTTCAGGGTGAAAACCCCTTTTTAAATTTTATTTTCCGTTTTTCGCCATGAAGGAAGTGTTTTTCAAAGTGGGAGTAGAAGTGAAAAAATGTCAAAAATTAAGTTTACTATCTATTAGTCTCTAGGCTCAACTCTCTACAGTATTTGTGGAAAAAACTAAAGGCTAATTAATCAAAATTACTAATTTTTTTTTTTTTAAACTTCAGAGTGAAAATCCCAAAACAGAACGAACAAAAACATATATATTTGTATAGCCGTGTGATGTAGTGGATAGCATCGTAGACTTCTGATCTACGTAGGTTCAGGGTTCGAATCTCTGCACGAGCTGTTTCGTATTTTTTTTTCTTTGCATTTCTTATCTCATAAATAGTCTTAAAATGGTCTTAAAATGAGCCAGAAATGATCTAAACAGGATCATAATAGGCTCATATTTTGATGACCATAATAAGATGATATTTATTCCATAAAAAAATGACATAATTATGACTACATTATGATACAATAAATGAGATAAATATGGGAGAGATATGATTTAAAAATGAGCCATATATGGTACATAAATGAGTCATTCATGGCTCATTTTTTATCTCATTTTTCACGGCCTGGGTCATTGACCGCAGCGCTTTTAAACTGCAGCAATTTTTTCGAAGAGAAGGGAGTGTCTAACACGATTTTTGATGATTTAAAGCTTTTTTAGAGTATATAACCAGGCTTCGCTTGGTTTTTTGAGTGAACTTTGACCAAGTATAGTCCTCTTTTGTTGCTTAGTTGCACAAGCATAAAATGAGATACAAGTAACAATACACATAAGCAAGAAATGAGAAAAAACAGTTCAACTATATAGATTAATGGTACCGCTTACATTTTCCTTTTTTTTGATATTATCATTCTGCATTTTCCTTAATCGACTACAATGACTTTCCGGCTTTCTCTTCGGGCCATGGTAGCTTGATAGAACGTTAGCAATTGTTCTTCGAAAGCCTCTTCTCGCTCAAGGCGTTAGCCAGTGCACATTAAGTAAAATTAATGGAAACAAAAGAAATAAAAGGCTTAGGAACAACCAGAGAGATTATTGACAAAAAAGTGCAATTATTAAATAACAGACAAACGAGTAGAGCCAAAGAAGTAAATCGAAGATGAGTGTTACTTGTTATTTTAACGCAAAAATATCTTGTAGTATTACCAGTATCTTTCTTTATGACTCTAATAAAATTTAATCGAAATAACCTTGGATTTCTCTTCAAGACTCGATAAAATACTTCATAAAATCTGGATGGATATCTTGGTATATAGAATATATTACAATTAAGCTTTACTGCCTTAGAGGGGGACCGTGAATACAACTTTATTCCAGTATTTTATCGAGTCTTGAAGAGAAATTTAAGGTTATTTCGATTAAATTTTATTAGAGTCATAAAGAAAGATACTGGTAATACTACAAGATATTTTTGCGTTAAAATAACAAGTAACACTCATCTTCGATTCACTAACCCCTGACCGAAAGATCCTGGTCCTAACGAATTCATCATGTACGGTGCGCGAAATTCACAACGTCCACAAAATGATTTTTCGTTTTCTTGGGTATGGTTGGATAAAGCTAATCGAGTTATCTAGTTATAACTGACTTTTATATATTTTGAAGTCATTTTCGTGTGAAAAGTATTGATTTTTGAACAAGAAATTTTTCATATTTCTACCTTTGAACGTGCAAAACTACTTTTCTCTAGTTCGCCACCAGTATGTTCACAAAATTAGCAGAAAATGAGACAGTCAGAAAAGCTACAGATCGAGAATAGGAGTAGAAAGTAATCATTCTAATCAACTACGTCCCACAAATAATTGGCGCCAGTTCCTGCACTTCTTCCTCTCATGCACTAGACAGCGAGAAATATGAAGGTAGGAAAAGTACATGTGCACATTCCTACTTCCTTCAAAAACCGAACAAAACCAAAACACACTGCTGAGAAAAAAGCCAAGAACTATACATGTACGCCAAACACCAGGTGTCGCACACACACATCCATCTAAACAAAAAATCAACTACTAGTGATTACACATACATTGTGTTTCCACCTCGAATATGAACATCTTGCTAATCTACGTTCAAGTGCGTCAGATGTCACAAGTAACGCTCGTTAGCTCGCTGACTCTCCACCTGATGCGCACGACTGCCAGTTAGTGATGTTGTTTCCCTTTGTGCTATCGGTCTGAAGTATCGCTTATTGTAGTGAACGTAACAGTTGTTTAGGCATGCACCAATACCAATCATTATTGAAGATATTGTACAATATTATTGGCTATTCAATAATATTCTGTCCCAATATTATAGTATACCCAATCTGTTGGGACCAATAAT